TTGTATTAAAAAAACTAAAAATAAATACTTTGAGACGTCGGATCTAAGATCAAACGGTGAGTGGCTCTCGTAATAAAAAGCGGGCAAATGGATGGTAGGGGGAAGATAGAACTTCAATTTTGTAGGGAGCATAGAAAGCTTTCTCTTTTTTTATTACTTTTTTTTTTCTCCTGTTTTGAGGAGCTCATGTAATACATGTTAACAGAGAGACTGTCTTTAATGATATTGTATAGGGTATTCTTTAACCCTTTATTCTCAAGGGTAATTTTGTTCATTATATACATACATACATGGGATAAGTGTGAATGAAATCACACACGGGTTCGCTCCATTTTCTCTGTCTAGGGTTTCATAAGTTTGACAAGACAGTTGAAAAATACAAAACATAAGCCTTGTAGAAATGAGGGGAAACAAAACACATACACTACTTCTTGTCTACAGTCTTCAAAATTTGCTTTTATTGTATGGATTTTAAGTTTCATTTTACAGAATTATAATTCTTTTTTATTTCCTGTAGCAGGATGATAAATCTTTCAATATTCTGCGAAAATCTCTTGGTTCCTTTTTGGATAGCGGCTCTGACGAGGACTAAGCAGTGGATGAATGGCACCAAAAATGAAATTGAATGTTTTTACTGAAACTAATCACTGTTTCTTGAGGTTTGAGTAAATCTCTGAAGTAAATAAGAATGTTGAAGGAAATGAATTCACATTTACAAGAAATTAGGGAATAAGAGAGAAGAGACTTAGAGTGAGGGATTCCCTTAGACGACTTATCTTTCTTTTTAATCTGGAGTTGCAAATCTCTATCCCTCTTTCTATTCATTTTCTTGAGAGACTTTTGATGTTTATATATGTCACAGTAACTAGAATTTCGGGGTGGCAATGGGTCAAGTCTTGGACCCGAAAAAAAATTATGAGACTTGGACCCAAACCGGGACCCGATTGGATCCTATTGGACCCGACCGAAAAATTGAAAAATAAGCTTATGCATAAGAGCATGCCACACTTATATATTTAAATATTAAATATATACATGTATTATTAAATCACCTATTCCCTTCCTACTCGGAACAACGATAAAACACCTACAAAAGATGGACATTAGCCATCTTTCCATTAAGATGGCTAGCCTAAATATAACCTTTCTAGGACTTTGAGGTGCTTTTGTGTCTTACTTAGAAGTCATTCTTATTCTAATTAAGTTGGGCGTTTTGCTGATAACTTGATTTTATAGTGTTCACCTTTATAATTTAAAATATATTGTTATATTTTATTTAAATGTTATTAAAATATTATATATTAAATATTAATATGGAATTGGACCCAACCTGATTTGAACCATACCTGGACCAGGGTTAGGTCAAGGCCCATTGCCAACCTTGCATTAGATGCAAAATAAAATAAAGCTTGGAGCATCATGTAACGTGTCATTTTGTATACTTCTGATGATAAGGCCACTGGTGGTCCCTTTTGGATTCTTTGCATAGATGTAGGGGATGACTAATAATATCGGTACCAGTGGTGCTAATCTCCTAGGCTAAAGAGAAAGGATGCATGGGTTTTATATCTTCTTTTGATAGTTTGCCTTCTCTCTTTCATAAGATTTGAACTTTGAACATTGCAAAAGATGCACTTCAAACATGACCTTAAATAACAACGGGGTTGGGGTCGGCATTAGTACCACTTGTGCTCCAGTTAAAATCTAGGTAATGCATTAAAAAACCACTAGTAATTTCAAAAAACAAGTAGGGGCTTGTCATCCCCACTAAATTACTTAAAAAAAAACATGTCCTTAAATTACTTTTGTTATTATTGAATGCTTCCATAGTGACTAGATAAAGAGGAAATTGGGTTCTTCAGTGTTGAGGAATAGACCCCAGCCCTAAAAGGAATGGGGTTGGGCCATGGTGGTAATACTACCGTGCTATAGTTGAAGGTCATGGCTTCTATTCTCGCGAACTCATTAAAAAATATGACTATTTTCAAAATGGGCAGGGGCTTCTAATCCCTCTAATTTACCCAAAAAAAAAAAGACTCCCAATCCTAATAAAAGAATTAAACTTGTCTTAAGTAAGCCAAACTTTGGATCGCTTACTCTTCTTATTTCAATTTAGTAAATGAATTTAAAAAATGAGTAATGATCTTATGAAACTTTACTACATCCATGTGTGTAGGATCCTAAAAGATCATCGTTAAATTTGTGTCAGATATTTAGAAAATTTATCACATGGGTGTGAGACTTCACTTTTTTAGAGATCTGTGCTAAATTTAATGGTGATCCCTTGGGGTCCTACACACATAGGTGTAGGGGGGTTTCACAAGGTCATTTCCCTTAAAACATATAGAATTAAAAAATGGGGCCAAAAGATTATATACTCGTGTGGGTATATGCTCCGTTAGGGTAAAAATTTATTCTTAGGACCCAAAATTTATGGATCCAACCTTCTCTACTTACCAAAAAAAAAGGAAAAAATCGTAGTCATACTATATGTGCCCGAAAAGAAGAATGTCATCAAATGAAATGGAGACCGTCCAATTTTGGGACAATTAGATCTAGTGTTGTGAACCTAGAATGCCATTTCATTTTTTTGGTTTTTTATAAAAAACTCATCCAATGATTTTAAAGTAGATTGCGAAATTTTAGATTGAGAAAGATACCTCGAAGTAGGTATTTGACCTAAGCGAGAGTGTACAATGTGCTCTTGCAATAACATGCTATACGTGCTCCAAACTGGATTCAACTCTAACAATTTATAGATATGCAGGGGTGGGTCTTGACATGCTGGGAAAGAGGAGGAAGGATTGACAACTCCAAACTGAGAAAGATACCTCAAAGCAGGTTTTGGGGGTGCTCTTGAGGTGGGTCTTGACATGTTGGGATTCTTTAGAGGACTTTGATCACATTGCACCAACAGGGCGAGCAAGTTCGGAGCAACAGGAAGAAGAGAGCGAGAGGGAGGGTAGAGAGAGAGTAAAGGGGGAGAGAGTTACTTAAAAATAGTATTTTTTTTTTTAGGAGAGATGAGGATTCAAATCTCATCTTGAAATTTGGATCGAAATCTAAGGGTGATCTTTTGAAGTCTCATGCTATTAGATGGGGTGGGGTCCTATAAGATCATTACTCATGTAAAAGAGATTCTATATAATAAAACCATTTACTTTTAATACATTGAGGTCACAATTATTTACAACCAGCCGAAATGAAATCTGATAGCTTGGGTGTGTGACAAAGTTTGAGAAAATTTATTTTGAAGTTTGAACTTGGTCAATGGATGAATACAGTAATCTAATTTCACATCCAATGGTCAAGATTTACTATGACCACCGAAGATAAATGGTCTCATTGTATTACCCTTTTTAGAAAAAGTTTATATAAGGATACAACTTGTAGAACTACGGCTGCACTTCAAAAAACCATCGGAAAAGTTAGTTTTAATGTTGAAAAACCCTTTGATTGATCATCTCAACATCGTGATGTATGACCATGAAAAATAAAAAGATTTAAGTCTAAAAAATAGTGCATTTTACAACATATTCTATACACTGTCCATTTTCAAGATTTTCATATATTTATAGATCTACTTGATTTTAACCATTTTTTAAATTTAAAATTTTCTAATTAGATATAAAAATAGATTTTGAGATAATCCTAAGAACATTTTACCTCAAAATTATATACCATGATAAATTTTGAGGTGCACCTTACCTCTACAGCTTACGGATGCATCCATATGCCAACTGCACCTTTATTTTTTTGAAAAAAGTTTATATAAGGTTGCAACTTTAAAATGTACAATTACAGTTGCACTTCAAAAATCCATGGAAAAAGGTTGTTTTAATGTTGAAAAGCCTTCTAATAAATCATCTCGATATCAAGATGTATGAATATGACAAAAAAACGATTTTGAGTCCTAAAAATAGTGCATCTTGCAACACATTATCTAGACCATTAATTTTCAAGATTTTCGTATGTTTATAGATCTCCTTGATTTTAATCATTTTTAGAGTTTCAAAATTTATAATTAGAGATGAAAATAGATTTTAAGATAATCCTAAGAAATCTTAACACCAAAATTACATATTATGATAAAATTTGATGGTGCACCTTAATTGGATTGTTTAAGGTTAACTACACTCCAAAATTACATGCTATGATCAAATTTGATAGTGCACCTTAATTAGATTGTTTAAGGCTAACCACACCCAACTTTTTTTTGTTTGAAAATCCTAAAAAGAGTCTATTTTGAATCGGATATAGTTACTATAAGGCTGCCGCCCTAGTTATTGGAGTTGGGCGGCAGCCATATGCATCGTCTAGTTATTTTAACGGTGCAAATTTTGCACATTTCTCAATAACAGGGCCCTTGTTTTTGCCCCGGAAACGAACGTAAAAATTGGTCCCGTTGTTCATTCTGTTTTACACTTCATTTCAAAAGGCTTCAAAGCCCCTCTCTCTCTCCAGCTTTCAGCCCCCACCTCTGTCTCTCTACATTTCTGCCCTCCCTCTGGCTTAGATTTCAACTCCCTCTCTCTCTCTAGGTTTCAGCTCCCACTCTCTCTAAGCATGCACATAAAACCCTACAAAGCCCCTCCCAGGCTCCCCATTAAACCGGTGTGATGACCACTCTCCAAGTCCTTTCCTCTGCAAAACCCTCTCTCCATGGGGAGGGCATAAAATCCGCCACCTCTCTCCTGCTATGGACTTCCAAAATCGCTGCCATGAACCACTCTCAGATCCTTGATTTCTCTCTCCTCTAACCCAACCTATCTCTAAAAATAATAATAAGGGCTCTGTGCATTGGTGGTGCAAGCCAAAATCAATGGGTGTTCTTGACGTGCCCTGGCTGTCATTCTATTGTTCCATCTCTCCCTCTCAAAAACCCACAAACAGATTTTCGAAGCAATGGAAAGCCGACAGCTCTCTGAGGAATGGCAAGCCCGCTTTTTGTTGTAATAGGGCTGCAGCCCTTTGAAAACATTTTCCTTTTGAAGGATGAATTCACTTAATGATTTATGTTCAATCTTTTTTTTGAAAAAATTTCATACATAACCTTAATTTCTCATCTTGTTTAAGTAGACTCTCCTTCCATTCTTCTTTCAAGCCGGACAAAAAAATCCCTAAGGATTATACGGTATCCCCTCGTCTCTTTCCTCCTTCCTATATTCACATTTGACTATAAAAATTATGTCTAAGAAATCTTTTTATGCTATTTCAATCAAAAAAACGTTTCAAAAACTTTTTTAAGCCACCCAAGGTATCTTTTAACCAAAAAAAGTTTCAAAAATATTTTTTTATTATATTTTTTACTTGTTCAGCCCCTCAATGCCATGTTGAGAGCTCCATATTTCTTTCTCATATTGAGTTGAAATGGTATAAAAAAATTTATTGGGACTAATTTTTATGATCAAAAGTAAATAAATGAGGAAAAAAGAGATGAGGGGTACAGTGAAATATTTGAGAAATTTTTTATGTCATTTGAAAGAAAAATGGAAGATGGTCAACTATGAAATAAGATGGAGAATTAGGGTTATGTATAAAATTTTCCCATCTTTTTTAACTATTTATGTTCAATCTTGAAACATTTTTTCATTGCACATAGAGTTTGCATTTTGGCTTCATTATTATTATTATTATTATTATTATTATTATTATTTTATGATGTTGGTCCTTAGGTTCTAGAGGATACAACCCCCAATCCTAAAAATGCTTCGGCGGCTTTTGCTTAAGTGAGCAAAGTGCGCATGGTCCTGTCGGAGTAAGACAACATTTTAGCTCAAGGAAAACTATATAATGAGACTATTTATCTTTAGTACAAGGTGGTGAGACAAGGTGGTCGGAATTGATCTTGGCCATTGGATGTAAATTTGAGTTGCAACATTTATTCCTTTGACCAAGCTCGAGATTTAAAATAAATTTTCTTAAACTTTAAGACATACTCAAGCTATCAGATTTCACATCATAAAATTATAAGTAATTGTGACTCTCTTGTACCAAAGGTAAATGGTCTCATTATATACAATCCCTTAGCTAAATATATGATTCATTAACATGGAAATAATATAACTTAAATCTTAAAAGTAAACTATCTAAAAATAGGAAAAAGTTTATGTAATGTTGGAATCTTATACTATAAAACTAAGGCCCACCTCAAAAATCCAATAGCAAAGAGTACATCTAAGCCTCAAGTTTTATGGATATAAAAAAAAAAAGAATTTAAAGTCTTAGAAATAATACAAATTGTATTAAATTATCTCGGCCATCTATTTTCAATATTTTCAAATGTTTTTAGATAAACTCGATCTACATAATATTAAAACTTGTAAAGTTCATAATTGGGATTGAATATAAATTTTCAAGCCATCACAAGCTTTCTAATGCAAGAAGTAGTCTTCCGTAAAAATATAGAGAGGTACACCGTGTATAATACAAGGGGTGCACCTTACACAAGCCTCACATTTTAAATATTAAAATAAACATGTTGTTTTGGTGTACTCATATATATATATATATATATATATGTAGTTTTTTTTTGGACAATTGATACCTTTATATAATTTTTTATTAAAAATATCTATCTTACCTCTCTTAACTATAAAAAGTGCACTTACTCAATAATTTTATATTACAAAATAAAAGATAACAAGTGTTTAAAAATTTCGAGTACATTAATAAAATACTTATAACTACCTTAATATAATTTTTTAATAAATATTCTCGCATAAAAAAGCAAAATCTGAAAAAAAAAAAAGAAAAAAAAAACATTTCACTTTCATTATTGCCTTAAATTTTAGATCCAGAATTAAGATTGATGAGTGCATTAATAGATCCAAGATTCCTCTTTTAACGCTAGGTTGTGATGAGGATGAGTTTTGGCATACATCACCAAAGGGCGCTAGCACCAAAATCCCTTCTATGAGATAAAGAAGGAATAAAATCTCAATCTATTTTCCCTCACTTCGAAGCCACCGGTGATTTGTCTGTGGACATAGAGAGGGAAAAGAGTATATATGGCGCCAGTGCTCCATTTTCAAAGCTCTCTCTCTACCGAAGCCTGATAACTGTTTGCAACTTTCGTTCTCGTTTCTCTCTTCGCACCTTTTATGATTCAGTAAACTGAATGCTGGTTTAGCCTTTCGCAGTAAATAATGGCAAATTTAAGAAGTGATTCCCCCCTTTGCCGTCGCATTGTTCTTTCTTTCCTTGAATTTCTCAACTCAGGTAATTTCTCTCCCTCTTTCTCCAGTTTTTTATCTTCATTGAATTATGTGTTCTTTCTCCATCATCTTGCTTTGTTTTCGTTAGTTCTTTAAATCACTAGCAACTTGTTGCAGTTGGGTTTCTATTGTTTTCTTGTTGTTTCTGGTTTTTCCCCTCTTGAATATGAATTTGAATCTGGCATATGTATTGTTTCTCTTTCTTGATCATGTTGGTCGGATATTGGGTATGTTCTCTCTCACTTTCTCTCTCTCTCTCTCTTGCCACACTGTTTTGGTTTTGGGAGGAAATTGTGTTATCAACTGTTCCAGTTTTTGGTACCAAAATCGTGCTGTTGTTGTTCATCTGAAAACAAAATTTTTGTCCCGGCATTATTTTTTCTTATTTCATCTTCTCTCCGTTTTTTTATTTTCTCTGTATTGGTTTCAGCTTTGGTGTGTAATGGTAATCCAGGGTGGATAGTTATTGTAAACACTTGAGAGGAGATATCAGGGTTTCCTTTTGCTTTGGTTCCTTTGAAAAATTTAATCCAGTAGACCCAGTCCTTTGGATTATTATAATTAACAAACGTAATCCACATTGGACAAGTAATTTTTTTGTACATGCTCATATTGAACAATTTAAATAAGTAAATGCTATATTATCATTGAAGATTCAAATTTTAAGGAAAGAAATCTATGTTTGGATGGGTACTGATTCGATGCATACATCGCTTACCGAAAGCATAACTTTTCACCTGGATGTCTGTTCAAGGTGATCCAGATCTTATCTCTTTGAGAATGAGAACTACGACTCTCATCTTCATAGCTTTGTTCGTAATTTGGACAGTTGGGGCTCCAAATTGTCTTTGAAAGCCAGCTGGTTTTATTTTTCTTAAGTCTGTTATGTTTTTTTTTACTTTCGGTCCTAGAAAGTCTAAAACAGGGAAGATTAATTTTATAGAAGACTGTTGCTCCATAGATTGGTGAGTTTAAAGAGTCTTTAAAATTTTAGCAAGTTGTTCATTTACTGCAAGTTAAGTTAATTTCCTGATTTTGTTGAAGAGTTCAAATGCTCTTTCCATGTTTTGGGAGGGTTTTGTTTCTTAAAACTATAAAGGAACTAGTTACCTAATAATTTTGAATGAAACATGGAGAAGGAAGTCCAGGAAATAGAGATAGCTTCAGTCCCAAATTAAGTTCAATAAAGGGGGTTTATCCTTATGAATACACTTCTAGGTCTATGACCAATTCAAATTCAAATTGAGTAATAAAATTCGGGTTTTCAATTGTCGTAAGATGCCACATTTAGAGGAGAGATTCCTCTACTCTTTTTGTAGAGAGAGTGATTTTACAACTCTCACCCAAGATTGAGAGAGTCTCCCCCCTAAAGGTTAGATCATCATTCTTTTTTATGGTAAAGCGATTACCCAAAACCCTAGCTTGTGGATTGCAGGTTCTTCCCACATAAGTTACGGCCTCTTCTTTTCGTCATGGATTGCACTTCCCCATCCATATTCCTGAGCCCTCCAAACCTAATTTTTATTCTCGTTCCCTTCAAACCCAGCCGTCACCCTTTTGGTACCTGTAAATTCAGCAAGATTTACCTCCATTAAAATTTATAATTTTAACCCTTGAATGTTGTCCAAAACTTACTAAACCATTTCCCATACACTTAACTCATTCCCTACCCTTCTCAAGCTTTATATCATCCTCTCTTGTTTATGACACCTGTATCCAATCCTAAAACCTGAACTTATTCCCATCATAGTCAAACCTTATATCCAAAGGAAACCCAAACCTTTGTCTTTCTGTCCATGTAACCAAATTTGACTAACTCTAACCGTTCTTTCTGAGTCTTTCATCCGTGTTGGACTCATGTAGGAGTCTAGTCCCCTTGGTCCTGCACCAGAGTTGCCGAGTTGGTATCATAGCACATTTTTCTTTGGGAACTTGCTTTAGGTTTAGCCATGTCAACTCAAATGGACTATAGTTGTACTAATGTCATGTATCTCTCAAAAACACAAAGCAATGTGCTCTTGAGGCAGTTAATCAACAAGGTAAATCCCACCACTGTCTGATGTCGCCTTTCATTGTCCAAGCAAGGCTTTAATCTTGTGGATGTTAATGATGCATCCAAAGAAAAGGATAATCACCTAGAAGATGAAGGAATCATTGAGCCATGGTAGGTGAATTCCTTGTCGTCTCTTCAGAGCAATGGGCCCAAGCATTGGCGAAGTGCCAGCCTCTTTTAGACAAAGTCAAGTGTAGACTGAAATATGAAACCTCATCATTGATGGGCAAAGCGTCATCAAAATTGCCTCCTAAGAGCTGGTTAACAAGTTAGATTTGAAGATTCCCGCAACCAAATGAGGCTGCTTGGATGAATGACACCGCTAAAGTTGTTATCACCTGGTGTCTAGTGGCATTTTGGATGAATGTTTCATAGTTAGATCAGGTTTAGTGCAATGGTCCTCCCATGATCATCAAGCATATCATCCTGGGATAGCTGTGATTGTTTGATAATAACATCAAGTGTGATGGTGAGGGGAACACATACTCTTTTGAGGTCAAGAATAGCGGCATTATTCTAAAAAGTCTGAAAGAAACAATATATATCAACAAGACAAAGCCAGCCAAAGCTTTGACTCTCAGGCATTTCTTGAAAGAAAGTGAAGAGAATGCGGCAATTACAGTGCTTCTTACAGGAGATGTCAAGCCGAACCAGCAGCTGGCCTAACATGACTATTCCCCAGAGGTCTAGATTTCTTCGACTTTTCAGATTTCTTCCTGAAGAGCTCCTGAACAAGCTGCCATGCTTGAAAGAGCTACAATGTGTTCTTGACCTCATCCCAAGTGCTACTGTTTTGAGACTTTTTGCCTACTGCATGAGTCTCACTGAGCATGTAAAGTGTTTCCTTTAAGTTAAAGAGTTGCTTGAGGTTTTCTTCGTGAGATCATGAGCCATGCGTAGCACCTTTGCTCCTCACTCTTCTAAGAAAGATCGCTCGTGGCTTATGTGGATATAGACAGCATGGTTGGAAAATTCAAGTAAGTTTATTGTGTTTGTCATGTTTCCTCAATCAACATGCATGAATCCATTTCTTGAGGGATTCAAAAGAGTTAGTATACTCATCCAGTGATGTACCATCCAAACTTCTAGGAACATTGAAGAAAAGGATCGAAGAAGATAGCGGATATAAAGTGGGAATCATTTCACTTCACTTTAAAACCGATGACAGATTTCTATAACAAGGGGGAGAACAATGCAGCTGCTTCCCATAGTTCCCAAAACCAGGATTGTTCACCCACATGTTGGTTTAGGATGATCCAAAGCTTAGGGCGAATATCTTTTTGAGATTTGCAACCCTTATGTCGACAGGTTTTTTTAATTAAGATATTGTGGGCCTCAAAATGTGGTTGAAAGCTTGCTTGTAAAATAAGTGACAGATTTTATTTCTGTAATGTGTTAGGTTTCTTTCTTTCCATTATTAAGTCCTAGAAATACTGGTGTAGGGAATCCAGCAATCTTCTTGAAAGATCAATCTTCTAGAAGATTGTGGGTTCTAGAGATTAGAAAGTTAAGAGTCTTTAGAAATTTATCAAGTTGTTTCTTTCCTTATTTTATAAGTTAGTTTCCTGATTTGTGTTAGAGTCTACAAAGATAGTTTCCATGTCTAGTAAGAGTCTAGTTTCCTAAGTTATAAAGGAACAAGTTATCTAATTTTGAAAGAAACTAGATGATTAGGAAGTTTAGGGAAGTAGATATAGCTCGAGTGACAAGCTAAGTAAAATAAAGGGGGTTGTACCTTAATAAATGCTCACATAGGCCTCTGGCGAATTCAATTCAAGTTTTGAGTAATAAAATTTGAGTTTGTGTTGAGAGGCCATATTTAGAAAAGAGATTCCTCAACCTGTTTTGTTGAGAGAGTGATTCTCCAACTCTAGCCCATAATGGGGAGAATCTCCCCCTAATGGTTTGAGCCCCTTGTTGCTTTTGGTTGAGAGATTTAGAAGCCTAGCTTGTGGATTTGGACGTTCTCCCTGCATAAGCTCGGACCTATTCTTTTTCCTTCTTCAGGGCACTTTTCTATCCAAGATTCCCTCAACCAAATTTGTTGCTATATTCCTACACCATCAAGTCAATTGTTCTCAAGCCCTAATAACATAGCTCACCTTATTCCCAAGTGCATCACATCATCACCCATTGCCCACCAAATCTAATTTAGCTTATGATCTCATCTCCCTTGCTAGACCTGGAAAATTTCCAGCATGGTTCACCTCCATTAAAACATGTCGTTCATTATAAAAAATTCACCAAACCATTTCCCATATCCATACCTGCCTTGAGCTTCAAGTCATCTTCTCCTGTTTGTTAGAAGCCCTTATCCAATCCTAGAACCAGAACTTATTCTCATCATCGTCAAATCCTATACCAAATCAAACCAAAAACCTTTGTGTCCATAATTAACCCAAATTTCCCCGACCGTGCTGTCCATAATTAACTCAAAATTTGCTACCTGTCGAAGCCCTCTTCACGTGTTGCAATTGTGTGGGATCTGAACCCCCTTTGTCTTACATCATGCTTGAAGCAGCGTCCATGAGGCTATTTAAAGTGTGGGAAAATTTGAATTATGAATTTTTAATGTTTCAAATAATTGGAGACATCTTCTAGTTAAAGCAAGGTTTAAAAAATCGGATTGGTGACTCGAATCGGCCTCACCCATACTTGTTTCGGATCGAAGAATCAGCAGAATCGGCAATTTTTGTCTCAAAATATTTTAAAAAAATCACTATAAATATCTAAAAATAGTGTTCTTTTAGTTTCTAAACGTAATTAGGAGTGATGCATTATGTATTTTATTACTTTATAAAATTAGGTGAATACTGAGATGCTGTTTTCCTATCTGGATGTCTGTATAATTATTGATTATAATATAATATTATAATACTGCATTAAAATAATTTAAAAATATTAAAAATATTTCCATATTATAAGATTAAACATAATAATTTCACATATAA